AGAATTTTGGGAATGATGAGGGCAACAAATGTATAGATGTGCTTTACACAATTGATCTATGTATTGTGATGAATTGTATGAGCCCCAATAAATTGATTAATAAAAACAAACAAACAAAAAAAAACCAACTGCCTTTTAATTTTAGACAACATAATTTTTTATCCTGCAATGAAAGAAGAGGTAATTGGCACCTTTAACTCTCTACTTTCTCTTCTTTACTGATGATGGTTATATCACAATATAAAATCCCACCCCCACCCCCCTTTTTAAGTGTCTGTCAAAGTTTCAATTACTCATTAATGTGGGAAGCCACAGATAACACAGCTGGTTCAGAGGGAAGTATGGATGTGAAATTGATACTTTGTAGACCGAGAGAGGTGCAGAAGGATGATGGGTGGGAGAAAAACTGAAACAGGTTTGCTAAACTAGATACTCAATGGTTAGTGTTTTATAGGATAATAAAATAATACCCTTTGAGGGTATTTCTGCTACCCAAAAAGTATCCTAATGGTTTTCCACAAGTCAACATTTGGCTTTGTAAGCTAAATTTCCATTGTTATTGGGCATCGGTTCATCTCTGATTTGCACATAGATGGATTGAAACACTGTCACATCCTGCATTGTCCTCACAAATTGTAAATAGTAAGGCAAATGTTTTCTCAGAGGGCACTTTAGGTGGGATTGTTAGGCAGTGATGTAGTATGGCTTCGAAGTTCCTTCAGGAGCCCTGGTGGCGCTGGTAAGCATTAGACTGTTAACCCAAAGTCCACACTTAAATGCACCAGCTGCTCCATGGGAGAAAGATAAAACTCTCTGCTTTCAGAAAAATGTACAGCCTCGGAAAGTATATGGGGTCACCATTCACTTTTATCTCTAGGTCAGCAGTTCAAATCCACTAGCTTCTCTGAGGGAGAAAGAGGAAACTATCTGATCTCATAAAGATAGACAGGTTTGGGAACCTTATCTAGGATTACTATGAGTCAAAATGGACTTGATGGCAATGGGTTTAGGTAGGTCATTATCTGATGACACAACCTGTTTTAAGTAACATGTGTTTATTGATTAGTCTACAAGTGTAAGTATTTCTGTCCACATCACTGAGAGGCTACTTTTCTGCAATACCCTGAACAACCGCAATTACTAGTGGTTAATGAGAAAGTTTAAAAATATATGCAAGTATAACCAGGTAAGAGGAAATCTGTGCTAATTTCTAAGTTTTAGTTCATACTTATAGGATTAGAAAAGTACTGCTTATTCACTACATCAGATTTCAGAATTCTTTTTTAACATTATGATAGGTCCAGGGAGCAAGTTTTCGAGGTTGGAAAGAAGTGACTTCTCTATTTAATAAGGATGATGAACAACATCTTCTTGAAAAATGTAAATCTCCCAGGTCTAAAGGGTAAGTCATAATTGTTTAAGAAAAAAACGATAATATCCTAAGATGTGTGAAAACATTCAAGAAGGTGAAAAATGATAGTTTTAATAAAAGTTAACTTAAAGCTGCTGTTGAGTTTCTTGGTCAATCTTCTCTAGTAAAATGTACAAAAAAAAATGATTGGTAAACTGTAAAAGATTTTAGAAAATTAAGTATATGTAAACAGGCATACTCCTTTGTTTTATAAATAGTTTGAACTGTTAAGTACCATATTTAAATTTAAGAATATAAACTCAGTGACTACCTGTTGCTACTATTGAAGGCATATTTATTTACTCAGTGATATGAAGAGTTTAATTAGATGAATCTTGAAAAGCCTACAGGGAAAGAACCTGATTTTGTTTCTGGACAGTGCTTTTTACCTTTACCAGGCAAGTATGTATGGCCTTGACTTTATTTTGGTTAAAAGCATCTGAATTCACTCAGTTTCTTGTTCAACAGAGACTTCTTTCTGCATTCAGGATGATCTGTAATGCGTCAGTGCTTCTCAAGTCTGACCGCATTGTAGAAACTTCTGAGGGGCCTTTCAAAGAAACGCATACCCTGACCCTACTTCAACCAGTTAAACTAAAGTCTTTGGTGGTAAGGCCTGGCCATTGGTATATTTAAAAAGAAAAAAAAATAAAGAAAGGAAAAGTTTCCCAGGTGATTTTCATGTCTGGTCAGGGTTGATAACCATTGATCTGGATAATGACATTTATATACAGTTCTTTTTGTGGTTCATGATGATTTTTTTTCATGAGCATATAGAGTCATCTCTTGATATCCTCCTGGGACTGGTTCCAGGACAGCCACCCCCTCCCCCCAAATAGAAAGCTATACAGATGCTCAAGCCTCTTAATCAAGTATAAAATCACATAGTGTTAGCGTATAACCTATATACATGCTCTCTTATACTTTAAACTGTCTCCAGATTATTTATAATACTCATACAGTGTAAATTCTATATGTATCACAGTTTAAGCTCCCTCTTAGCTTTTGAGAAATTGCTTTGACTCTTCAATTTCTCCCTCACCCCCAATATTTTACATCTGTGGTTTATTGAATCTGCAGACACAGAACCTGTGGCTATAGAGGAAAGGCTGACTATGCCTTCCTTTCCTCTTTATAAGAGAGAGTGTACCTATTTTAATTTTTGTTTTAACAAATTACCTATTAAAAGCTTGAGATTAGTGTGCATATGAGTAGCCCTATTGAACACCTGTTTGGTAAATGGAGTCATCCTCCTGGTGCTTTATTTCTTAAGCTCGACCCTCGATTGCTGTGTGTCTCCTTTCCTTTTGCCTGAGCACCGCCTTCCATGTTTCCTTGGGAAACAAAAAACACACATTAGTGCTTTTTTGTCAGAAATTAGGTCTTTGCTTATGTATTGAGAAATGATATTCTATGTAAAATAGGGCTGGCTCACCAACACCTAACACTTTCTTCTCCTATAGGACTAATTTACGATTAAAAGAAGAATTGAAGGCAGAGAAGAAATCTGGATTTTGGGACAATTTGGTTTTAAAACAAAATACACAGCCGAAAAAACCAGATCAGATTGAAGGTTGGGAACCTCCAAAAATTGCTGTTGAAGATGTAGCAGCTGATTCAGGCGACACCGTGAGCGACCATTTGTCATGGCCAGGCTGGGAAGATGCCACTAAAGGCTCCACTAAGTATACTACCCTGGCCAGCTCCGGAAACACCTCCAGATGGAGCATCAAGTCAGCTGGGAAGCTCGTCAGTATTAGACGACAAAGCAAAGGCAATCTTACGGATAATTGGGAAGAATTAGAATGATAGTGGAAATGAAAGGCTATATGAAAGAATCAGTCCACTATTCCCATATATTTTCAAACCAAAATTTGCCTAATATTGCACCTTTGTATTTCATTTTATCAAGATTCGTAGTTTGCTGTTTGTTTTAATTAGTATGTGGCTAAGCCTTCTGTTTCTCACATTAAAATTTTGAATTTTTATTTTCATATGTTGAATTTTGAACTATCCAGGCATACTGTGATTTCTAGTGAATATATACAGGCGTTGTACTTTTGATTGCCTTATTGTAAACATTTCCAATTCTTACAATTCATGTGTTGCTGGAACTGGAGATGTGAATTTTTGATGTACTATAATAGTAATGATATTTGCATTTGCCACTGAATTATTTTCGTGCTGTTTTTGGTTGTAGTTCTTGTTTTAGAATTCACATACCTTTTTTCTTGCATGCAACATACATGAGCAGTCTACGAAATGCAAGAATGTAGCAGTTATGTTATTCTTCTCTGTTGTCAGAAAATTGATACCCAGGTGGTTAAATGAATCTTCCAAAGGTTACATTGAATGTTGTTTAGTTTAGCAAATTAACGTTTTCCTTATTAACTTAAGATATGTAAACAAATACTGGAAAAGCAAAAGTTCTATTTGAGTGAAAATGTCACTGTTTAAATATATGTGTACCCGTGTGTTGTCTAAGGAGGAATAGCCTGCAGCGTGCACATTGATAGGGAGTATTTTGAGATTTTATTTTTCTTTCTCCTGAACTTTTAAATGTTGATCTTTTCTTTCTTCTAAATATTCACTCTCCTTTGTTTACAGATTAACTAAAGAATGATGTAAATAATGGATAAATTTCAGTAACTCGAAACTCTTAATTTTGTTTGGAAAGCATTAGCTTTCTCTCACTATAGAATTCAAACTGTATATAAAATACTGGAAGTGCCTCTTTACCCAAGTTGTGTTTGTTTGTTTTTAATGAGATGCTGTGATTGATGTTAGGCTTAGACATTGCTTTGTTGGTTTTGTTTTCTCCCGCAAAAGAATAACTTGTAGTTAATTTGAGAGCATCACCCAGGGGTAGTAATTTTGTCTGTCTGTCTCTCTGTCGCTGTCTCCAGAGTCCCATCTCTAAGTTGTCACTAGACTTGCTGATTTTCTTTGACAGTGGGATCCCAGAGAGGTAAATTTGTAATGTGTGTCTCCTTAGCAATATAGCTTTTATAAGCAGGTGGTGCAAAATATCTCAGATAAAAGTAGTTTTAAAGAAAAGGCTTTTTTAAAAATTGTGCTTAAAAACAAACAAACCCTCTAGTTACACTGTGCATCCCCTCCTAAAACAAAATTGAAAACAAAACTGTCCTTGACTTGTTCAGTTTGCACTTGTGTGCTGTTTCATTGAAATGGATGTTCCCTTTAACATTCCTGTGGAATATCTGAATATGCCTGGTGGCAAAACACCTTGTATTGTAACATAGTATTTAAATAAATAAATTTATATTTTTAATAGAACTTGATCGAGCCTTCAAAGGAGAACCTCTTTTAAGTGGTGTTAAAGTACGAATTCCAGTTTATATCAGAACCTTGAAATTGTGGAAGTTACTTTATTTTAGTTTTGTTTTTTTCTTCATAGTACAGAGGAAAGTTTACAATTTTTAATCTAATAGCTAAGTTGCAAGTCTTGTTTCCTCAGGTAAATAGTTTGACATACAGACTATAACTTTCCGTCTCCTTAAATCCATTTCAGGATTTCTGCATATATTTTAAAGCATGAGGTAGGGTTAGGCTTATATTTGTCTTAGACTGTCTAGAGGCACAGTATATTTGAGACTCTGGAAGTGGTGTTAATAAGTGAGGCAGTCAGGAAGGCTATTTCTCCCAATTTGGGGGAGTGTTGTATACTGTGACCAGCTGCGGTTATGGCTGTATATGCAATGTTAAGTGCCTGTAATTCACCTGAGAAGAAAACATTTATGATGCACAGTTGGCAAAATATCCTTTGTAAAATTGGCTATCAAAATTTGAAGGCAAAGCCAAATTTAAATTGGATTATAAAATGTAAATCAAAAAAATTTTTTTCTAACAACCAAGATTAATTAATGTAAAAAGAATTTTCTTCTAATTAAAATGTGATTTTTATAAAATATAGAATATAAGATGTTTCGGTGTACTTTGAAAGGAATCTTTTTTCCCTTGAGAGAACTGACCAAAGCAAATTTCCTTTATGCTCATAGGTTAATGAGAGATTGAGGTCTTGATTTGTGGATTTTGTTTGAATTCTGTATACACATGAGATCACTTACTGTCTGAGGAAAAAGTTACCTATATTCCTTAGGAAGTTTTTCTTTTTTAAATAGGGAAGTGGTTTCCAAGAATTCTTCCTTAATGCTGAGGTTTCAAAACATAATACTATTTTTACCATATTTCATTATTAGTTTGCATGTTTATTGGCATCTTCTTAAGGTGAATGCTTACAATGGCTTTAAGTAATCATTTATATCGCACCTTTCTTGAATTTTAAAGCTTATTTTAAAATGCAAACCATACATGTAAACTTTTCATAAATAAATCAATTTCATCTTAAGGTTTTAGGATGTGTCTTTTGCATATTTGAACTGTTGTTTTATGCTGATTTTCTATGAATAAATCATGCTTGCTCAGGACTGGGGCTGTATGTATAATAAGGAACCACAAGGTCTTACCCTTCAGCATCCAGTTTAGAAACATACTAGTGCTTAGAAATATATTAGTGATAATAGTATGTTTTTTAACTTAATCATTATTATGTATCTTTTTAAATCATTACCATCTCTTAGGGGGTATATCTCCTTTCCAGTGAATGATGACTTATTACAAAAGGTAATAATATTAGCTTTCTTTAATAACTGGATATAGTAGTTAGTTAAGCACTTGGCTTCTAACCAGAAAGGTTGGTGGTTCAAATCCACCCCTGTTCCATGGGAGAAAGATGTAGTAGTTTGCTTCCATAAAGATTTGCTCCTTCGAGTTTTACAGAGCAGTTCTAGTCTGTCCTGCAGTGTTGCTGTGAGAGTTTCAATTTACTTAACAGAAATGAGTAAAAACCTGGATAATTGAACTTACCTGGAAATGCCTTAGTTATCTGGGTATTTTTAAGAGTACAGATACTTTTGGAAAGATGTACAAATGGAACATTTGGTAATAAATCAGTGTTGTTTTCCTTGTCTCTCCATCCTGATAAAGTTATCGGTGTTAGGCTGGGTTGTCTAGAGAAGGAAATCCAGTTATATTCATCTATGTTTAAGAATGAGCTTTATATCAAGAAATAATTATATGTGAACAAGGCATCCCAGCTCAGTCCAACTCAAGTCCATGAGTCTGTTACTAGTCGATAAGTCCCTCTTCAGACTCACGCAGCCATATACAATGATGCAGAGTGTAGGAAGATCAGAAGCCAGTGGAGGCAGAGTTGTGTGAATCTAAGGTCAGTGGAAACATGTCAGGGCTTTCAGGTTCAGTGGCAGAGTCCCAGAAAGCAAGAAGGAAAAGGGGCTGAAACAGGGAGGTTCATAGTATGGTCCTCCTTATAAGAAGAATAGACACTTGATCTGGATACAGATTTGCCTTCCCTGCGAGCAATACTTAAGCCAAAACTACCATTCAGTGGACTTACAGAAATCCTATGCACCGGCATAGCATTCCACACAGCATTGCTTCAGATCAAGGAACTCACTTCACAGCAAATGAAGAGCGGCCATGGCCCCATTCCCTGGAATCCAAGGGTTGTATCATGTTCTTCCTCATCCTAAAGCAGCTGGCTTGACAGAATGATGGAATGGCCTTCTAATGACACCAATACTGCACCAGTTAGGTGGCCACACCTTGTAGGTCTGGGGCATTGTTCTCCAGGGGGCTGTATATGCTCTAAACCAGCAGCCAATATCCAATGTTCTACCTCCCATAGCCAGGATTCTTGAGTCCTGGAACCAAGGGTTCTAAGTGGGAATGGTACCACTTACAGAAGTTTTGTTTCCTGTCTGGAGACTATACTCTTCAGGTCTAGAGGCCCTAGTTCCAAAGGCAGAAATGCTCTCAACTAGAAACGGTGCTGATGAGTCCATTGAATTGGCAGCTACGAATCGCCCCTGACCATTTTGGGCTCCTCTGCTCCCCGGAACAACAGGTAAATAAATGTGTTCTGTATTGTGTGGTGTGATTGATATTGATCCTTATTACCAAGGGGAGATTGGATGGTTGCTGAATAATAGAGGTAAATAAGAGTATGTTGGAATCCAGCGATTCGTTAGGTTTTCTTAGTACTAGTTTGTGATTAAAATAAATGGTAAACCTACAGCAACTCACTCCTGACATGACTACCAATGTCCCAAAGCACACAAAAATGAAGGTCTGGTTTATCCCACCAGACAACCACAACCCAGCTGAGGTGCGGGCTGAAGACAGGAAATACAGAATGGTTAGTGGAGAAAGGTAGTCTAGGTATCAGTTATGGATATGTAATACATTGCCAAGGTGAGGCCTGTAGCTGTCAGTATTTCCTCTTTATATATACAAGGGGCTACCCCCCAAAATCCCCCCCTCCCCCAAAAGCTGGGCAGAGTTTTCATAGTATGCATTTTTCCCACTAGGAAAGCATCGAGCAACTCCTCTGAGTTGATGCACCCATTGGCATTGCCTGGGATGGCTTTCTCTGGTCATAGTGAACTTTTTTGTAAAAGTTTTGCCAGAACCTTGTTTTTTGTGATGGCAAATTTAAGCAAACAACACGTGGCTGTGGAATTTTGTTTCCTGCTTGGGAAAAATGCTGCAGAAACTTGTGATGTTTAACATAGCTTACAAGGACAGTACTATGGACAGTACTCAAGTTATATGGTTTCCACGTTTCAAAGAGGTAAAGCGTTGATTGATGATACACCTCATTTTGGACGTCTGTCACCTAACCAAAATGACGGAAATGTTGACGCATGCATTTGGCATTCATTCTATCAGGTCAGACTGTTAATCAAGTGTTCTATGTAGAGGTTCTGAAAAGATTGCATAAGTGTGTGGGGGGAAAAAGGCCCTGACTTGTGGCAGACAGGACACTGGTTTTGACGCCATGACAATGCATGTGCTTATGCAACCATCTCAGTGCACCAGTTTTTGGCAAAAACAGCCTGCCTCTCTTGCCTGGCACACCTTACCTTACCTCACTCCCTGCGACTTCTCTTTGTTTCCACAAATGAAAGGACAGCAATTTGATGACATAGAAGAGGTGAAGAAAAATCAGGGAGGTACTGTCAGCTATCCAAACAGATGAGTTTGAAAAATGTTTCCAAGAATGGAATCACAGATTTGACAAATGCATAAAGTGTAATGGAGAGCACTTTAAAAGTGATAGGTTGCTTTATAAAAATAAAAAAAAATTAAATACAAAGCTTGGGAAAAAACCCCGCCTTTTTTCCCCAGTATCCCCATTTATACATCAAATATTTTCCTCTTGTTAATTTATAATATCAGGGTGTTCAATACATCGATCCCAATCTACAAGTCGATTGCAAATGTAGTGTGGGTAGATCACATGGCATTAAAATCCTGTCACTTAATTGATATACTGTGCAGCCAATCAGATGCAATCTTAGGTGTCAAATGTATGCCCAAACAACTGCTCTAAGTGCAGCAAAACTGACAAGCTAAGTTATCGCCAATTTTTAGACCTTTTTTACCCCTCTTAAACATAAGAAAGGGTATTAAAGTGAGTGGGGGAACTTGGCCAAGTAAGAAGACAAAACCGTATCACTTTCATATGGAATGGGAGATTTTGACACTACAAGCCGACATTCAGCTGAAATCCAGAGTGCATGAACAGTTCTGGAACTTACTCGCCGAGGGAAAGGACCCAAACATGAGAAAACGTGCTACCTCCTTGACTGCATTATTTGGTTTTACTTATTTATGTGAGGCAGCCTTTTCCCACATAAAGATCATGAAGTCCAAGTACCATTCCACCATGACTGATGATCATTTGGAAGTGTGCTTGAGGCTGGCTGTCAGCAGCTACTGTCTGGACTATGCATCCCCAACTCATTCCATTCAGTGCAAGTCATCAGGGTAAACTCAGGTCATGACAAAAAAACG